GTAAAATGCACCCTAAAAGGGACCCTAATTTAGAGAACTACCCTTATCCCAAAGTTGCGAAAAAGGCTCAGGCTTCAGGGTCCAGGAGTATCCGCACGCAGCGCAACGTCTGTCAGACCCAACTCTCCCCAATAAGCCTTAAACTCTTAGGGTTTAGGGTTTAGGGTTTAGGGTTTAGGGTTTAGGGTTTAGCCCTAAACTTTCCGTGTACTCTCCACTCTGCAGTCCTCTATTTAATTTAAGCCATAAGCAGCTAGGCCCCACCACGAAACCGCTCGAAGCAGACCCCGAGCCCAAGAGCCCGAACTTCACGACGAAACCGGAATGGAAAGTCCCAAGAAAGGAGCTCGATAAGAAAGCCCCCAAAATGCAAGGTTCAGGGTTCAGGGCTAGGGTTTAGGAAGCTGTGTGCCAGGCAAAGCCCTCGCCAGAGAAGCAGAGGACGATGAGATGGTGTCTGATGAAGTTTGGACGGTTGCAAAGAGTTTAGGGTTTAGGGTTCGCCATCGCAGTTCTACCGAGCAAGGCGCCCTAGGCAATTATGCCGCAAGCGAAGCGTTCCCTGTTCTAAGGGGGGTGAGCCTTGGCCTTCGTTTTGTTTGAATCTGCACAGTTTTTTTGGGCTCTTCGAGCGTTGCCTCGTCCCGCTTGTCGTGGCTCAAAATCCCAACGCATGCCTGCAAATCCTTAAACCTGGATGGCCCACATGGCCAAAATTCCGGGATACCAAACCATCCAGAAATTTGGACGGGGCCAAGACAAAATGCGGAGAACCACAAAACCGGATGCCCAAATGGCCAGAAGCCAGGAAAAATGTTCAGAACAGCACTGACATTGGGATGGATCAGATGGCAGAAAAAGCCCGGAACAAGTTACGAATCCGAAAATTTGGACGGCCAAACAGCAGGAGATATGTCAAAGCATGTTGGACGGCCCAAATGCACAAACAAATTTCGCAAAGCGTGAGCAACCCATAACTTTGGGTTCGAGCGGCCAGTATCTGCAAGGATGGCAGCCGAAATGGCCAAAAACCATCCGGAAAAGTGGGAAACATCCGGAAAGTTGGTTGGTCCAAATGGCACAAAATGCAAAACTTGCAACTATTTCAGAAATTTGAATGGCTTCAATGGCTTCAATGGCTAAAGATCAGAAAGAGCAAAAACCCAGAAATTTGGACGGCCCAACTGGCCAAGTATCCGGCAAAATGTAGAAACACCACAACAGTTTGGATTGCCCAGACGGCCACTAGGTTTTAAGGGTTAGGGGTTAGGGCTCAAGTGGACGACAGCCATGGTCCTGATGACTTGGGTTCTAGGCTTACCAAACAAAACATTTTACGATTGACTAGGCAATGCATTTGAACGGCATTTGAGGCCTGAAGCCACTGTACCTTTGGCGCAGCCTCCGTGGGAAGGTGGAGGAGGCCACTCGTGGCAGTATCATCTTTGATACTGTCACGGGTGAAATCCTGGGAGCGGCCACATGAGGTCCCACTTCGGGTGGGCTCCACATAGCAGCCGTGTGCAGCAAGAAGCACGAAGGCTGCGGCCAGGACTACCTGGCCATGCTTCAGGACGCGCATTCCCTTTGTTTCGATTTCAAGGGTGTCAGGATTAAATTTGGGATTTGGTGATTTAAGCTAAAGTTTAAGGCAAGACGTTCTGGAAGGAAGCGAACCTGTCGTGCATATTTTGTTTTCGTTGAGTTGGAAGGTTAATGGTTTAGGATTTATGTTCAGGGTCAGGGTATAAAGGTGTGGAATTTCGGGTTCGGAAGTGTTGGAAAGTGAGACGAGGAAAAGACATATATAATGCGTAGACGACGAACAGGTTAATCGGCTATTTATGTTTGTTTTCGTATTCCAACAAACACCTTGCAATTAGGTTAGCCATGCGGTTTTCAATGATCAGGGGTTGTAGGGTGTATAGGTATTGGCTCACCAACAAGTCATAAACCTTCATGGGTGTTGTTGGGCTTAGGGCGTATAGGTCCACCAACACATCACCAGATTTTAGGGCTTGTAGGGCTCCGTCCGGGATTGAGTACGTTGGTGGTGTGCATCTAACCAGGATCTAATCCATTTTAATCATGCAAGCCTATGCGGCTCTCAAAGGCCAGGTAAACAATTGAGTGGGTGTGCTTGTGCTGGTGAATTTGACTGGATGTCATTCGTGGCTTGGGCTTGTTCGCTTGGTTTGCAACTGCAGCCTGTGCCAAGCGATCAAGCTTCTCACTTACCCTTGTCGAAGACCCAATGAAGCGGGAACTCAAAGCACTCTGCTTTTTGGGCTTGCTGGTTTGCTATGGATTGCATGGTGCCAGTAGCGAAAAAAGAAAAAGGACAAGCGACCCTAAGAGGTCTTCTTTGCAGCATGGAAGTATCAGCAAACAGTCTGCCGATTTTGGCAGAATATTGTGAGCTTGGACGGAGGCTGACAAGGCCAGCGATCGCTGATTTCCGTGGAGTTGTGCAGTTCACCTGAGGGAAGAAGGGTGCAGTCGATCCAAGCAGAACAAAATCCCAAAGCAGATTGCAACTTGGAAAAATATCCAGGGTTAGTCTGTGGCATTGGCCCTAGAGGTGTGGAGCACCTGAGCGACATTCTCAACTCGGAATGTGCCTGTGCTACTCTACAAAACGCAGCTAAACAAGACGCTCTAGAGCACACAAGCTCTTATTACTTTTACCGTGGTGAACCACAACAACCATTGGGTTTCGAGGTGGTTTAGAATTGCGCAACCACCATTTGCAAGTAAACCTTGGCTGGTATAGGAAACTTATGATACATACAAGCACCGAAATTTCAAGCCTTCAAGGAACCTACATAGGTTTTTGGGGGGTGTTGAACCCTGAGTTCGGAACTCAAAGTTCCTCAGAGTTCGAAATTAAAGTTCGGGGCCGAGAACTTTGGGTTCGAACATACATTCCGAACTTCCAGTTCAACTCAAGTTCGACCTCTGTTTTCTCAAATGTTGGAACTCTAAGTTCAAATCCAGAACTCTGGTGTTTAAACCCTAGGCTCAAACACTGGTGTTCGAACACTCCGGGCACACTAGCTGGTTCGAACACCAGAGTTCAATTTTTGGACTTGCGCAGTTTGAATGTCCGGATCAAAATTAGATTTTGGTCAAACTTCGCTCGGCATCTGGACTGTTACTCGAATGCTGCTTCGCCAACGGAACAGAAAATAATTTTCAGTTTTGAATTCCTGCAGATCTTTTAGCGTCTCAAGGCAGCCTCGGCGAGGAACAAAAGGCCATGTTCACCGCTCGCTTCTCGCGAGCGGAACACCTTGACACGCTCGTAGACTGGATTCAGACCCTTTCTGAGCTGTCTTCTTCCGCTGCACGGTCTTCCGCCAGCCACTTCAAGGCCCTTGCTGTGTTAAGAACTGCCTGTTCCGTTCTCAGATGGAGTACCTGGCCCAGGGAGGCGCAAAACGGCGCTTTAGTCGTTCCGCATTCAAAATTCGGATGACTAAGACGCTGACGCCTCGACTTGAAGGACCTTGAGTGGCTGCAGCTACTGGGGTTGGACTTGACAGGCAGGGATTGTGGCTTCTACAGCTTTTTGGCAGTCAATAAATCAAGAAGTTTGCAGCAGCTGCACCACCTGCAGCACCAACCCCTACAGCGCTTCCATCTGCTTCAGTAGCATCCTCTAGGGCACCACCAGACACTTCTTACAGCACTTGGACCGCTGAAGAGCAGGCAATGTGGCAGATGACCAAGCCTGAAAGAATCAAGTTCCTGCCTGGCAGAGACGGCTTGGCTGATCAGCTGCCCCTGACGGCAGATGTGGCGTCGGTAAAAAAGCTTTTGTGTGTTTATGTTGCGCTGTGAATCAAGTAGCAGCAGACAGGAGAATTTGGAAGGTTGTTGCGGCACAGGTGACAGAAAGAGCAGATACACGTTTGGAAAGTGTGCCTCCTGTAGAGCTTAGCTATGTGGCCCTTATTTAGGGTTTAAGGTTGAGGTTGAGGGTGTAAAGCGTGTAGGATTGTTTCAGGCAGCGCCGCCCTCCGCCGCCGCGGAAGGTGTGACACTTTCCGTCCGGCCGAGGTCACTGGCTGGTCAATGGGGGAGGGCGGGGTGGGGGGCTTTAAGAACTCCGTTTGCCTCTGCAGAGTTCTCGGTATTTACAGCGCTCTCGCTCCTTCTCACTCCAATCTTCTTCTCGTTCTGGTCTTGCCGTCTCTACAACGTAACTTCTGCAAAAAGCGAAATGCTCGGTATTTCTGTGGGTGCGCCGCCCGCTTGACTGCGCAAGACCAAATTCCTCGATAATCACGGCGTTTCCGTTGTCTCTGCCTACATTCTCCTCCTTTCTCGGGTTTTTGGTCACTGGAGTCCATGCACAAAGCAGAAGTTTTGCGTTTGTATTTTTTCTGGTGAGGGGGGGGGTTTCAGGCTCGAGAATCGATGATTTTCTTGAGGTAGCCAAATGCCTCGTCATCTAATTCGTGACGCGCATGAACGGATGTCAGAGTGCTGATGACCTGCAGGGGGTTGCAAGATTACCCATAATGAACTAAAAAGTGTAGTAGCGTTCTTATAGTAGTCATAGTGCCAAGGACTATTCGGCGATTTTGGTCAGCAGGTGGTGCCCCTCAGAAAAGCACCAATTTCATCACATCTTCTAGTTAGGCTCTGTCAGGTCTCTTTACGCATGTAAAATGGGTATATAGTTCTTGTTGTAATGATGAAGGTTGTTTTTGTCGCCACTATGGTCACTGAGGTTGCTCGTACAATTGCTGTAAATAGTTTTCATCAACCCTCCTTGTTGTCATTCTTCAACCCCCGGTGAGCGTTTTGGCATAACTGCTGCCCCTTCAAGATTACGGATAGAAATTTTTGCTTCTGTACAGCACTCCATACGAAGCACCCAGATCTTCAAATCGACATCTCTGATGCCCACCTGAGCCTAAACCCAAGACCCAAACCGAAGAGGTTTAGGGTTTATTGTTTAAGGTTTCGCTATGCATAAAAGTTTTTTGCAGGACTGGCGCTCGCGCTTCCGCTGCAGAGCTCGCAAGGTTCACTGCCTCCGTCATGGAATGTTGTGCAGGGAGATGCCATGCGAGCCCAACGAGACGTCTTTCAGCACAAAAGGGAAGTTCGGGGAAGACCACGTCCAAAAAGGGTCGTGAGTCCACCGTTCTGACCTCCGCTGTTCCCATGAGCCTCCCCAAACCCTAAACCTAGATCCCAATCCGTAAACCCCAATCCGTGACGAAACCCGAAGCCCGAACCTCCAAAAACTGTTGTGACGCTGGATGCCGGACAACCGCTAGCCGAGCACAGGCAGAGAGCAGCAGAAGTCGCTGCGCCGGGCCCTCGAACTGAAGGTTTGGAGTTGAAGGCAGCAGACCTTAAGCAGCTGAACACTGCTTAGGGTTTGGGGTTGAACAGAAACAGCAGGGGTTTGTTGAGAATCCTTTAATTATGAATGCTATAAATCAAAACAGGGTGAACGGCAGCCTTGTCATGAATACCACTATTACAGCCCTTGTTTTTGAGATCTGTGTTGTGCTTCGTATCCTTGTTCGTATTGTTACTACTATCATCATACTTATAGTAAGTATTACTCTCCTTGTTGTGATTATCAATGTTATGATTCAAATATTACGAGTCCAGTTTTCCTCCTTGTTCTGGGAGTGTTAGGCCGAAATATCCAAACAAAAGTTTCAAGGCATTCCTGAAGCTTCCTTACACTAAATCCTACACCCCAAACCCCGAACCGAAAACCCTAAACCCTAAACCAGGTCTGTAGCCTCCAGGACCACAGGGACTGCGAGCGCCACTGGCAACGCAGGCCTGGTGGTTCTTAAATAAAGGGTACCTGGTTTGCGGGTCCTTACATACGGTATGGTCGCAATGTAGGCCTTTTTTCAAGATCTTTACTTCTCAAGACCTCGCCGGTCAAACCAGTCTCGGCAGTAAGAACTCGTGAGCCTTCCTGGGCGTGGCCTGCGCTAAACGCCAAGATCTTGGCATGTTACATCAGCCAGCTCTGCTATCTTCGGAGTGGTTTCCCAGTAGTTTTCTGATGTAAAGCTGGAACCAGGTGGCACCAGCCATAATGACTGCAAGACGATTGACAGAGATAGCAATGGCAACGGAAATAAGACGGCACGTGATAATGGCAGCAGGAAGCATACATACAAACGACAACCAGCGGCCCTTACAGCTAATCGCACGTATGCACACCTACGCCTGGTTTCGAATGGTGGGAAAGTGGCCAGGAGCTGTAAGACTGTAAGACTCGTTTAGAACTGTTGCTCCTGCCGTAAACCATCTTCAAACCCTTCAGCGCTTGCCTTGGACCCTCCAAACAAGCCCCAAGTCCTTAAGGTGTAATGTAGAGGTCGGAATAGCTACGAATAATCCCCTTGAAGCCAATCCTCAAACCCGAAAGCAAAATCCTGAGCTGCAGGCAAGCGCGTCGCAGCTGAGCCCTTGACTTCCCTCGAGAAGCGCGCCAAGGCCGGTTAGGAGCTTTCCCATGGGGCTTGACTAGTAAGTACTAGCATGCCCTTGTAATATTCTAGTAATTAAAATGCTTCCCGAAGCCTTAGTCAACATATAAATCAACTCTTTCTTGCACTCTGGGTTTTGACGTCCTTATGTCATCTTTGTGGATTCTCAGTTTTTTTTTTCGGGCTTCTCGAGCTCGAGCTGCAAGAGGGCTGTGGGGTCTCATGCGGTTTGGAGCTGTCGGGTAGTTCCGAAGCTCACAGTGAAGGGTTGTTAGTCACTTTGGACAGCGTCCTTAGCGTGGGAGGACCCGTTTTGATGGTCAGAGAATTGGTTGATTTTGGCTTCGTGGTGCTAGGATATATATATATATAT